TGAAGTCGGTTTTTATTTTTTTGTTAAAAAGTTTTTATTGTTTAGTTTTGTGGACCAGGTATTTTATGGTACCCTATAATCCGTCGTCTATTGTTTAAAATTAACTTTTAATATTGCCGCAAAGTCGATTGTTAAACAGATAATATATTTTTACCACACCCTGTTACCACATCCCAGTTTGCTTGTATCAGTTTTTGGAGTTGTTCAATGATCGTAGTCGACTAACGGTGGCTTTATCCTGTCTAATTCGTATACTTTCTTAGATCTTTTCGGTTCTTTTCACGGATTTATTTCCATTTTTGGTTCCCGACGTTTCGAATGCTGTACAGCAATTACTGTTATGAGATAGACGGTGCTTGGTTAGTATATACATATATGTATGTATGAGAACAACTATTCTATGTCTTGACTATATAATACTATATAGTAAAAATATGAACATGATCTGAGTTTGCTTTCTTGTATTTTGATACGTTTGAATATTAGTATGAGTACGCGCCAGGAGGCAATATTAAATTTTTTTTACAAATAAACTACGGCTTGATCCTGTCTAATTCAAACGGTTTTCTGTTAGTATATATAAGTACAATAATATATAAAAAAATCAACGAGCTCCCAGTTTGCTTTCTATCGTTTTTATAGACTTTAAATTTTTGATAGAAACTAGTATAGGCGAGTATGAGAATATTAAAAAATTTTTTACAACTATTCTATGCCTTGATCCTACGAGATTCAAATATTTTTGAGTTGCTTGATATTAAAAGAATATATAGTAAAAATATCAACATGATCTGAGTTTGCTTTCTTGTATTTTCATACGTTTGAATGTTAGTATGAGTACGCGCCAGGAGGCAATATTAAAAAAAAAATTACAAATAAACTAAGGCTTGATCCTGTCTAATTCAAACGGTTTTCGCTTAGTATATATAAGTACGATAATATATAAAAAAATCAACGAGCTCCCAGTTTGCTTTCTATCGTTTTCATAGACTTTAAATTTTTAATAGAAACTAGTATAGGCGAGTATGAGAATATTAAAAAAATTTTTACAACTATTCTATGCCTTGATCCTACGAGATTCAAATATTTTTGAGTTGCTTGATATGAAAAGAATATATAGTAAAAATATCAACATGATCTGAGTTTGCTTTCTCGTATTTTCATACGTTTGAATATTAGTATGAGTACGCGCCAGGAAGCAATATTAAAAATTTTTTACAAATAAACTACGGCTTGATCCTGTCTAATTCAAACGGTTTTCTATTAGTGTATATAAGTACAATAATATATAAAAAAATCAACGAGCTCCTAGTTTGCTTTCTATAGTTTTTATGGACTTAAAAATTTTCATAGAAACTAGTATGGGCTAGTATGAGTATAATAAAAAAATTTTTACAATTATTCTATGCTTTGATTCTACGAGATTCAAATAGTTTTGAGTTGCTTGATATTATAATAATATATAGAAAAAAATATGAACATGATCCGAGTTTGCTTTCTTGTATTTGGATACGTTTGAATATTAGTATGAGTACGCGCCAGGAGGCAATATTAAAATTTTTTTTACAAATAAACTACGGCTTGATCCTGTCTAATTCAAACGGTTTTCTGTTAGTATATATAGGTACGATAATATATAAAAAAATCAACGAGCTCCCAGTTTGCTTTCTATCGTTTTCATAGACTTTAAATTTTTGATAGAAACTAGTATAGGCGAGTATGAGAATATTAAAAAAACTTTTACAACTATTCTATGCCTTGATCCTACGAGATTCAAATATTTTTGAGTTGCTTGATATTAAAAGAATATATAGTAAAAATATCAACATGATCTGAGTTTGCTTTCTTGTATTTTCATACGTTTGAATGTTAGTATGAGTACGCGCCAGGAGGCAATATTAAAAAAAAATTTACAAATAAACTAAGGCTTGATCCTGTCTAATTCAAACGGGTTTCGCTTAGTATATGTAAGTACGATAATATATAAAAAAACCAACGAGCTCCCAGTTTGCTTTCTATCGTTTTCATAGACTTTAAATTTTTCATAGAAACTAGTATAGGCGAGTATGAGATAATTAAAATTTTTTTTACAACTATTCTATGCCTTGATCCTACGAGATTCAAATATTTTTGAGTTGCTTGATATTAAAAGAATATATAGTAAAAATATCAACATGATCTGAGTTTGCTTTCTTGTATTTTCATACGTTTGAATGTTAGTATGAGTACGCGCCAGGAGGCAATATTAAAAAAAAATTTACAAATAAACTAAGGCTTGATCCTGTCTAATTCAAACGGTTTTCGCTTAGTATATATAAGTACGATAATATATAAAAAAATCAACGAGCTCCCAGTTTGCTTTCTATCGTTTTCATAGACTTTAAATTTTTAATAGAAACTAGTATAGGCGAGTATGAGAATATTAAAAAAATTTTTACAACTATTCTATGCCTTGATCCTACGAGATTCAAATATTTTTGAGTTGCTTGATATGAAAAGAATATATAGTAAAAATATCAACATGATCTGAGTTTGCTTTCTTGTATTTTCATACGTTTGAATGTTAGTATGAGTACGCGCCAGGAGGCAATATTAAAAATTTTTTTACAAATAAACTAAGGCTTGATCCTGTCTAATTCAAACGGTTTTCGCTTAGTATATATAAGTATAATAATATATAAAAAAATCAACGAGCTCCCAGTTTGCTTTCTATCGTTTTTATAGACTTTAAATTTTTAATAGAAACTAGTATAGGCGAGTATGAGAATATTAAAAAAATTTTTACAACTATTCTATGCCTTGATCCTACGAGATTCAAATATTTTTGAGTTGCTTGATATGAAAAGAATATATAGTAAAAATATCAACATGATCTGAGTTTGCTTTCTCGTATTTTCATACGTTTGAATATTAGTATGAGTACGCGCCAGGAAGCAATATTAAAAATTTTTTTACAAATAAACTACGGCTTGATCCTGTCTAATTCAAACGGTTTTCTATTAGTGTATATAAGTACAATAATATATAAAAAAATCAACGAGCTCCTAGTTTGCTTTCTATAGTTTTTATGGACTTAAAAATTTTCATAGAAACTAGTATGGGCTAGTATGAGTATAATAAAAAATTTTTTACAATTATTCTATGCTTTGATTCTACGAGATTCAAATAGTTTTGAGTTGCTTGATATTATAATAATATATAGAAAAAAATATGAACATGATCCGAGTTTGCTTTCTTGTATTTGGATACGTTTGAATATTAGTATGAGTACGCGCCAGGAGGCAATATTAAAATTTTTTTTACAAATAAACTACGGCTTGATCCTGTCTAATTCAAACGGTTTTCTGTTAGTATATATAAGTACGATAATATATAAAAAAATCAACGAGCTCCCAGTTTGCTTTCTATCGTTTTCATAGACTTTAAATTTTTGATAGAAACTAGTATAGGCGAGTATGAGAATATTAAAAAAATTTTTACAACTATTCTATGCCTTGATCCTACGAGATTCAAATATTTTTGAGTTGCTTGATATTAAAAGAATATATAGTAAAAATATCAACATGATCTGAGTTTGCTTTCTTGTATTTTCATACGTTTGAATGTTAGTATGAGTACGCGCCAGGAGGCAATATTAAAAAAAAATTTACAAATAAACTAAGGCTTGATCCTGTCTAATTCAAACGGGTTTCGCTTAGTATATGTAAGTACGATAATATATAAAAAAATCAACGAGCTCCCAGTTTGCTTTCTATCGTTTTCATAGACTTTAAATTTTTCATAGAAACTAGTATAGGCGAGTATGAGAATATTAAAAAAAAAATTACAACTATTTTATGCCTTGATCCTACGAGATTCAAATATTTTTGAGTTGCTTGATATTATAAGAATATATAGTAAAAATATCAACATGATCTGAGTTTGCTTTCTCGTATTTTCATACGTTTGAATATTAGTATGAGTACGCGCCAGGAAGCAATATTAAAAATTTTTTTACAAATAAACTACGGCTTGATCCTGTCTAATTCAAACGGTTTTCTATTAGTGTATATAAGTACAATAATATATAAAAAATCAACTAGCTCCTACTTTGCTTTCTATCGTTTTTATGGAATTGAATGTTGTTTTTACAATTATGCGCTCTCAATAGCAACAATAAATTTTTTTATGACACTTTTAGTGGTTAATTCTGCAAAATTTGTATAATTTTGAATAAATACATATTATAGAAAGCTTCAGTAAAAAAATCAGCAAGATTCAAGCATGCTTTCTAGTTTTTCATGGCTTAAATGACCTTTTACGCTAAGAACGGACACGAACATTACTGAATTTAAAAATTTGGTATTAAATTATATAAAACACTATACATTCCTATTATTGTATTTAAAATATTTAAAAAGTAATATTTAATTGCATCTGTAGCGTATTTATTTTTAATAACATGTGTTTTTGACGCCGCGATACCGTTGCGGCCCTTTGTTTAATTCGTCAGGTGGCCGGCTGCTAGTCGGCCGCTAGCTTCAGGTCCATATCCAATTTTATCCCTCGCGCTGTAACTGTATTTAAACAAGTTTTATTTGTGTATAATATAATTATATGAAAAGTGAGAGGGGTTACCAACGGATACCAAGTCTTAAAAAGCTATGCAAATTCAACATCTCCCAATTGCAGCAATGTTTCAGAAACTTATACAAAACTAGGTCAAACAAAGTGGATTTAGATTTTTTGTAGACGAAAACAAGCGTTAAATTCTAAGCTAAATATAAACATTTCTTAGATCTATTACTGTATTTCGTCCACAGAGTTTTACTGTCTCAATACTCAGTTCTGCATTTTAAATTGTTTCTTTTTTTAATTTCTATGACCATATTTTTTGTGCTATTATAACGGTATTGCCAGCTCAAATAAATGCCTCGAGCAGAATCGAATACATTACTACTGCGGGCAGACCAATATCTATAATTTGTGCTAAATAAATCAGTACTTCTATCTCAATACAGGAGAAGTATCCAGTGCTCTCTCGGCTAGTCATGGTGTTGAAGCAGTTCCTCCTCCAGCGCGACCTGAACGAGGTTTTCACTGGAGGCATCTCCTCGTACTCTCTGATCCTCATGTGCATCAGCTTCCTGCAGCTGCACCCGCGGCCGGAGAGGCTCCGGCAGCCTCACAACCTTGGAGTGCTGCTCATAGAATTCTTTGAGTTGTATGGAAGAAAGTTTAACTACGTGAAAACGGCGATACGAGTGAAAAATGGCGGCTCGTATGTCTCTAAGGATGATATTCAAAAGGTATGATTTATTTATAATTATTATTTGTTTGTATTGCCGAAGGTGTCATCTTACTTGTTACTTAATAACCTCCTCTTTTTATGAAATCGGGTGAAAAGTACAATCAATACTACTCAGTACTACTCTTAAGTTAAAGCTATATATCTCAAAATTCGAGTTATGATGGTATCTTATGATGCTTCTCTTTTTTGTTTAAAATTTTTGAAAGTTATAAAGTTTAATGGTGTCGTAACTTTTTCTTGTTTGTTCTTATTTAAAATAACATTCGTTGTACACTGTTGTAAAACTTTTGTTGTTCAAGACATATCAGTCGAAGTAATATTTCTTTTGTATTTAAAGTTCCTTTTTTTTAAATTAAAGCGACTTAGCTTCGCGTCGTTCGGATACGTCCCTGTATGTCATTCCAGCTCGCAGCCTATCTGTCTGCTAAATTTCATTCAAAGCCGTCCATCCGTTTCGGCCGCATGTACTGGTAGTAGACTTATGACGTTCAGAAAAAATTGTAATAATTGACTGCTGAATAAAATATTTTGAATTTGAATTGAAATTCGAATTTGAATATACGGAGTAACACGCCGTGATATCGTCTCGCAGGAGATGAACGACGGGCACCGGCCGTCGCTGCTGTGCATCGAGGACCCGCTCACGCCCGGCAACGACATCGGCCGCTCCAGCTACGGCGCCATACAGGTCAAGCAGGTACGTGTCCGGTTGGCATTCTGCTTTAATACCAATACTTTCTTATATTTACGAGAATATTTCATGTTTTAAATTTAAATAGATACGTATCTTTTCTGATTTTTTATGCGATTTAATTTGATTTTTGTTTTCCAACCAACGAATGCTTTATAGCAATCATGGTTACGGAGGACGTCCCAACGAACGTCGGGAATGGAAAATTATAATGAAATCCGCGAAAATAATTCGAAAAAATAGTTTTATTTAAAACGAGCAAGATTAGTTCTAATTTAGGTCAGTGTCACTTATTGTTAGCGGATAAATATTGCCTATGAACAATCTATTCGATACGTTTCTTCTTTCGGATGCAAGTGTATGGAAGTCTGCCCGATTTGTTGACATTTATGAATACTGGTCCGCTCCTTTGGGTAGAAAGAAGCATGATGTACGTACATATTACATGTATGTACATATTATATATATGCCTAATGCCTCTAGCCTTTCTCAATAAACGAGATAGCTAATGCAAAAATAATTTTTCAAATCGGTTTAGTAGTTCTTACAATTAGCGCGTTCAAACAAACAGACTCTGCCTCTTTATAATATTAGCATAGATTATGTAAAATTCTATGCAAAATTATTATACCTAATAACAAGTAAGCTCTCTGAAAATATAAGGCTAAAACTTAGAAAGTTATAGTTATTTAAATATATCTAAAACTAAAGTATTATTATCATAGCAACTAAAATGACAGAGTAACAATATTGCGTAACAATTTAGATATGCGATAAAAAAATTATTCGTAACAAAGTCTTATCAAAATTGTGTAATACAATATTAACATAAGATGACGTGGCATTTGCTGACGTCAGCGTCCGACTGGAATAGATGTAGTTGAAATTTTTATTACATAAATGTTTATTTTATACTAGCATTCAGATGACCAAAAAGCAAATTGTTAGGTTTTACATATTAATATACTCTTACAATGCAGTTTTTGTATTTTTTCTCAGAAATGAGATATTTTTTCGCGGTAAAAAGTATCCTATATGTTGACCCGGATAACCAGTTATCACCATACCTCATCAGAATCCCTCCAGTGGTTTTTCTGTGATGCGGTAATATGCGACAGACAGACAAAAATTCTAAAAACTATAGATTCGGCCTCTGTACCGACAATAATGTTTATTTCAATAGGATTTTCCAAAAAATATTTAATGTACAGATTCGGTTTAGTTACAATTTTATTATATGTATAGATAAAGTTTTAAAAGTTATAAGTATAGATATTATTTATTACAGACGGCATTAAAAATACATATTAAATATTTGCGTAAATCTAAGAATTAAATTAACTTTATAAACGTGTAAATAGCAAATTTGACTAAATTATTTTTTTCGTGGTATTGAACTCCATTTGAAAATACAATTGTATAGTACAAAAAGTGAGATAACAAGGAGTGAACGAGGTACCTAAACAATAACGAATGTGCACGTTGCAGGCGTTTGACTACGGCTACATAATCCTGCAGCAGGCGGTGGCGCCACACAACGCGCTGCTGGCGCGCCACAGCGTGCTGGGCCGCGTGCTGCGCGTCACCGACCACGTGCTGCAGTACCGGCGCTGGGTGCGCGACACCTTCGAGCCCTTCTTCTTCCCGCAGCGCCTGCGCGCGCGCCGCCCGCACTCCCCGCGCTCCCCGCGCACGCCGCGCTCCCCGCACTCGCCGCCCTCGCCGCGCTCGCTGCGCTCCCCGGAGCCGTCGCCCGACGCGACCACCCCGGCGCACTCGCCCTCGGACACCGACCAGGTGAGCTTACCGTCGCCATCTTGTTTAGGATTTGAGGAGTACCGTCGATTGTAGTTAGAGGGGTAAATAATGAAAATGTACAATGTATGAGTACAGTCCAGTGAGTGATCACACTTGACAAAGAGAAATAAAGCGTTATAGGTATATATTTAAATTATTTTTGTTTCGACAGTATTGAAAACAAACTCCGCCTCTCTACCGAAAAACATTTGCTATCTGATGTCGTCCAGGTGAACATTTTGACTACTCGTACTCTTCACTGAATGCATGTTGCATTCATTCAAATATAATTATCTTGATATAAAAGGAAGATTGTTAAACAATAACTCTCACAGGAATTTAACTTCATATTATAGAAGAGTCTAAAACAAATAAAGAAAGAGAGGCTAACTAGTGAGGTTTGTCGCAGGAGTGGTCGGACAGCGGGTCGGGCGCCGGGGGCGGCGGCGGCGGGGCGGGCGCGGGCGCGGGCGGCGCCAGCACGTCGCCGCCGCCGCTGTCGGCGCTGCAGTGCTCGTCGCCGACGCCGCGGCGCGTGTCGGCGCACCAGAGCCTCATCATCCACCACATCACGAGCAACTCGGACTTCAACAATATACCTTCGGGTGGGTATGGTAAGAGTATAGCGCATTGATTTTTTTTATATCTTAGTATTATACTGGTTACGTGGAGATTTCATTGATTTAAGTACATTATATTTTGTAAAGTTGCAGTTTTATTCTTTAGAGATTTACTTTAATAAATATCAGAGATAAATAAAATAGATATCATTATATATTTTTAACCGAAAAAGAGGAGGCTCTTAGAGGGTGGTCCATGTGTGATGGTGGCGGTATAAAATACAATTGCAAAAATACCATACGATTCAACACGCTAATTATAATTTTATTAACAGCCGCAATGACCGTTCCAGGCGTGATGCAACAGCGCTACAACAACCCCAACAACAACAACACAAACGACAACAAGAACCGAGCGCCGCGGTCGTTCACCTCCAAGCAGCGGCGCTACAACAACCACGGCTCGCCGCCGCAGAGGTTCCGCGGCGACACGCGCAAGAAGCGCCGCCAGTTCGCGCAGCAGCGATGATACCCCCTCGCGCACTGCTAGTGACGTCGCCGCCCGTGATGCCGCTGTGATACCCCCGTGATAGTGGTGACGGTTGTACCGCGCGTGATAGTGATACTGACAGTGATGGTGACATTGACAGCAGTGACAGCGGCGGCAGTACAGTTGTTACTAATACTGAACAAGTCTAATGATGCCATTAGATGACAGTAGGTAGCTACACAGTAATGGTGATGGATGTGACGTTTGATGACCCTTGACGTTGATACTGCTTTTGAAGATTGAGTTATCTAACATATCATACTATCCTTCCGATTAAGATTGTAAAAATAAAAGAAAATGAAAGGAACCAAAAAAAATATCATCTTGCCACATTTGTTTGCTTTTTTGGACTAATACCAATTAATATGTCAAAAAGCAATTTTGGTGAGCCTTCTTCAATGGATGGCATTGATCTATGAAAAATTCTTAACATGAGCGCAACTTTGCAACTCTTTAAAAGCAGGAAAGTCAAGGGGTTAAAGAAGCAAAAATTAGATTTTATCATTATGGGTACAGTATAAGGCCATAGGTAATAAAAAGGTGAGACTGTTAGTAACAGTTATACTTTGATACAAACATATGTTGTACATTTATTGTTGACAGAGCGTTCAGATATGTTGAATGAAAGGTAATTGTATGTTAATAAATTTGATAAAAGTAATAAGAAATGAGCCCAATCACAGAATTTTAACATCTTTATCTATGATAAATGAAAAAAAAGGTATATTAACTATCACGTGATCAACACTCACGACTCTTATTAAAAATATAAAAAAAAGGTCCATATTGTAAATGTCAAGATTGATAAATGTGAGTAATAAATGTACAATCTGTGGTAAATAGTGATATTATGCCTGTCTACACTTTGACGCTAACCTAAATATAAAAAAGGTTTAAATAATACATTTTACAGTAAGTGCCGGCTTGTTCTACAGCCGGCTAGTTCATACGTAGGATACGTCTTGTTTTGTAAAGTTCAAAATTGGTTAAAGTTTCATCATAAGGCTCGATTCACACCGCGGCGCTCGCTGTGGCCCGTCGGCCCGTTTGTGGACCAGATTTGAAGTTAAAAATGCATTATCGTAAAATCAAATATTCAACGAAAAAAATATGTTATTTTTTCTTAAATGACGTTTTTATATATTAAAACATAACGATATGAAATTTTCTCTGCGTGTCATTCACATAAGTAATGCAATAATAATATTATATAAACTATTTATATGATAAGCATGTCAGTGTTTGAGAGGGCAGCCGGGCCGCAGCCGGCGCGCGGCGGGCCGCGTGACGGCGCCGTTCCTCCTAAGCTAAGCTACGATAATCTGTTAACTAAACATGTGTTAAATTTGTTATAACACCAATATAAAGTAATAATAGAATAATTATTGTATATTCTAGACTAAACATACATGGAGTCGCTTTTGTACATTTAATATTTAAAACATTATTTATAAGCGAGTTATTTTTTTAATTTAAAAAAGTTTTTAATATTTAACATATTTTTATCGAGTCAGTAGAACCTTGTAGTAGTATGTATAGGCTGATCTCTCTAAAATATATGGCGGAGGTCAGACGGCTCTAAACGCAGTCGCGGGCAACGCCTGGTGCATACAATAGTTTGCGACGTGAATTGAAATCTTATACTTACAGCAAAGTGATACTAAATCAACGATAGTTTGTCACATTTTTACAATAATAGGTAGTTTAGACGCTTAGAAATTCTTTTGTCAATAAGGTGTATAGCAAAGTATAGAAGAGGATAATTTTTTACTCAGTAAATATCTTTCCGATAATAGACTGTGGATCAAGCAATAATACTTTATTCTGTTTATAATATCGACAATTCAATAGATTAAATATATATTATATAAATTATTCAGTCTGTCAGTTTCTGAACGGCCACAGCTTATGAAAGATTTGTATGCGGTAGTTCATGCGAGAAGAGCCACAGACATTTAGCTTTTGAGTTATTGCTTGAGTCATTTATGCTGACATGTTGGCTTTTTTAGCATGTTCAACTCGTGGGGCAGTTAACTTGCCGATTATACAGACTGATATAAAACTTAGAGCATTTTTGTCTTTGCATCTTATATGTACTCGGGCTTGATTAAATTTGTGCTTAAATAAGTATATATTCATAACTTACTCAATATATTGAAAGGCCTTGGTCGAGTTGATGAAATTTTGGTGTTTATAAAATATGGCATTTTGTTGTTGAATAATTTAAAAAGATAAATCAAACGACCTTGTATTAAACAACATAAATAATGTTTAACTATCGGAAATCCACTTTTACTTATTTCTCTACAAATTGTGTCAAAACTCAAAACCTGGTAACACTAATATAATCAATAGCAATACAATATTTATTAGAAATATAAAATAGCTTTTTACAATGTATGTGTAAGATTACCTGTAAAAAGTATAATTTCTCGGTTATATAGTCATTATTTATTTCTGTTACTTAATGTTATGTTTAAAACGAACGAAGCAGTTTTCATTGACATAAAAATTGGTTAAATCTTTATTATTATACTTATACGCGATAAGACCAGCGCCATTTTGGTCTACTTATATGGTATATACCTGATTGATCTATACTTATCACTATAATATATACATTAGGTGTATCGTGCATACTTATTAAGATAAATCTAAATGGATATTTTATGATCGGTGTCTCAAAAGTTACTATGGGAGTGATAATGAAGGGCTGTTAGTAGCAGAGCCGGATTTATAAATATGGGGTCCGGGGCTATAAAAAATGGGGTTCCTCTGATAATATTGGTAGAAATTAAAGTTTTTTTCTTTTTTTAGTTTGTCATGGGTTTATTAATTTCAAATTCAAAATTTTGAACGCCTAGAAATTTCGAATGTGAAGGCGTCGCCCAAATCCGGCTTTTTTATGTTATTTCTTCTTTTGCATATCATTTTCTTAGTAGTAGGATATCGATAGACTGTTGACTTATACGGACTTGTACGGACGTTGCGTCCAGGTTTATCACGTACCAGTGGAGGTCGCTAGTCGGATGAAATTTTTAGTTGTATTTAACTTATTTAAGTTGTAACATTGTAAAAATAAACAGAAAAATATGTGTATAAAATTAGCAAATAGGAAATAATTGTTTTAACGCTAAATTATTCATTTGTAAGGTATTTAAAATAAAATATTTTGTAGCCATTTTATGAGAAAAAAAACATCAAAAATACATGGATTATTAGAGAAGGCGAGCAATACGTGCGAATGAGATACAAAATATTAATAATGAAAGATGAAAAACTAATCTAAAACGCATGAGTTACAAAGTCATGCAACAATAAAAAGATAAATGTGAAAATATAAAAAAAATGAAAGCATTTAGTAAAGACTGCTTCGTTCGAGCGATGGGTTGTCGGTTGGTCTGTTATAGTTTAGTACTTAACTTATGTAACACACATACACACACACACGTCAAGTTAATCTCATTGTAATCCTTTGATATTTACTCAATTGTTTAGATCTCTTTGACTTTGTATTTTGTGCATTGCTCTAAAGCTGCGTACTTTTAGATGTTAGGTGCGTCACGTGTACGCGCGGGCCGCCGGTGGACTTCTGTGTCAGTGTGTGATAGAATCACGGCGGATCCTAATAATCTATTTACCTTTCATATTTCTTACTAGCGGTGGGATTTTGCATTTAGGCACAATTTGTATAACTTAATGTTAAATTACTATGTCCAGTAAGCAAAACCACAGATATGTTATTGCGATTCAACGTTTAAGTATCGTGTGCCATTGATGTCAGAAATTCAACAGCGGCCCCTGTGACATACTTTTTTTATATAGAAAAAGAAATAATTCAATATCTGTCAATAAAAACCATTTATATGATCAGTGGTGGCGGGGCGGCCGACTAGGGCTCGTTTGCTCAATCAATAGTTAGATGACGTATCTATGTGTAATTGTAAGAGAAATTAATGTAGCGGCTGTCCGTGCAGCCTCGAGGGGGACTCGATATATAATAATAAACAAATATTTGTTGCTTGACCCAAATCGCCTTAAATTCTTTACAATTCTACTCTATGGTATATGCTGTATATATGGATGTGTACAGTGTAGACTATAATAATAATTGCTTACGTTTTGAAAACTAAATGCCTAGAAGAGCTTGGGATGTGACCGGTAGACCAATAAAACGCTTTATCGTACTAAAAATGTGTGGTGATAGAGTAGCAAGGTATCACCTCACTGTTTCTTGAAAGGCGCAAATATCCGAGTGTCCCCGGCCGGCTGGCGCGGTCGCCGCGACAATTATATTATACTGCCATGAACTTAGAAATTAGGGGTTTCTTCGTTTTGCCGTCATATATATGGACTACTGTACTGGGATAGCCTAGTAAGGTCCGATCCACACTATAGTGCCGTTCATTTTTCATTCTTAGTCCGATAAGTCTGGTAAATTATTTTTATACAATAAACAATGATGCCATCAGTAAGAGTCGAGTTCCGGTCGAATTACACTTCAACAACGTTTCTTGTATAAAAAATACTTTACCAGAACGATATTGGACCAAAAACGGACTATAATCGGCGCGATAGCGTGAGTCGTGCCTAAATGATTAGTTAAAGACTGTCAAAGAGCGTGCATACATTGGCGCGGTGATACCATAACATGTTCTATAATATCAAGGGATTTCTATGTTAATTCAATGCACTGTCTATTCAAAAGCAAAATGGAATGATTAAATGTAATGACTTTCAATTCTTTGGTAATGAACTCTGTACAAAGGACCCGTCTATCGGTTTCGATGACGCAAAATGTGTTATAGATAGATGTAATGCGGTAAATGAATTGATGTGGTGAAGTCATTTATTATATTACATGTTTCAGTTGAATTGGTCATAACTTTGTGACTGAGAGTGCCTCCATCTGAAACTGCCCGCAACGAATGTATGCACGTACTCTTATTTCAAGTAACAAAATAACGCTAATTTTG